TCTGTGCAAGGTTCACTCCAGCCCTTCCCCTACAGTCTCTCCACTCTACCTTGTGTACTCTGTGCAAGGTTCACTCCAGCCCTTCCCCTACAGTCTCTCCACTCTACCTTGTGTACTCTGTGCAAGGTTCACTCCAGCCCTTCCCCTACAGTCTCTCCACTCTACCTTGTGTACTCTGTGCAAGGTTCACTCCAGCCCTTCCCCTACAGTCTCTCTTCACTCTACCTTGTGTACTCTGTGCAAGGTTCACTCCAGCCCTTCCCCTACAGTCTCTCCACTCTACCTTGTGTATTCTGTGCAAGGTTCACTCCAGCCCTTCCCCTACAGTCTCTCCACTCTACCTTGTGTACTCTGTGCAAGGTTCACTCCAGCCCTTCCCCTACAGTCTCTCCACTCTACCTTGTGTACTCTGTGCAAGGTTCACTCCAGCCCTTCCCCTACAGTCTCTCCACTCTACCTTGTGTACTCTGTGCAAGGTTCACTACAGCCCTTCCCCTACAGTCTCTCCACTCTACCTTGTGTACTCTGTGCAAGGTTCACTCCAACCCTTCCCCTACAGTCTCTCCACTCTACCTTGTGTACTCTGTGCAAGGTTCACTCCAGCCCTTCCCCTACAGTCTCTCCACTCTACCTTGTGTACTCTGTGCAAGGTTCACTCCAGCCCTTCCCCTACAGTCTCTCCACTCTACCTTGTGTACTCTGTGCAAGGTTCACTCCAGCCCTTCCCCTACAGTCTCTCCACTCTACCTTGTGTACTCTGTGCAAGGTTCACTCCAGCCCTTCCCCTACAGTCTCTCCACTCTACCTTGTGTACTCTGTGCAAGGTTCACTCCAGCCCTTCCCCTACAGTCTCTCTTCACTCTACCTTGTGTACTCTGTGCAAGGTTCACTCCAGCCCTTCCCCTACAGTCTCTCCACTCTACCTTGTGTACTCTGTGCAAGGTTCACTCCAGCCCTTCCCCTACAGTCTCTCTTCACTCTACCTTGTGTACTCTGTGCAAGGTTCACTCCAGCCCTTCCCCTACAGTCTCTCCACTCTACCTTGTGTACTCTGTGCAAGGTTCACTCCAGCCCTTCCCCTACAGTCTCTCCACTCTACCTTGTGTACTCTGTGCAAGGTTCACTCCAGCCCTTCCCCTACAGTCTCTCCACTCTACCTTGTGTACTCTGTGCAAGGTTCACTCCAGCCCTTCCCCTACAGTCTCTCCACTCTACCTTGTGTACTCTGTGCAAGGTTCACTCCAGCCCTTCCCCTACAGTCTCTCTCCACTCTACCTTGTGTACTCTGTGCAAGGTTCACTCCAGCCCTTCCCCTACAGTCTCTCCACTCTACCTTGTGTACTCTGTGCAAGGTTCACCCCAGCCCTTCCCCTACATTCTCTCCACTCTACCTTGTGTATTCTGTGCAAGGGCACCGGTTGTGGGAGTAGATAATGAACCCATAGTGGCATGTAGAATAAACTCTCAGGTAGTGGAATAACTGAGGGTAGTGGCTTTGACTGAGTGGAGCTTGGGTATTCATGACCAAAGCTGCATTGCCCTGAGTTTTGAGTGCTTGAAAGAGATATAGAGATATACCGTGTTTTAGTACATAGGGATCCTGATTAGTTAATTCATGTAACAGCCAGGCAACAGTAACGAGAATGCCCTAAGATCGGTCCATTGTGTTTACAAGCTATTTGCACTAGGTAGGATAAGGATTATGCTTACAAAATAAGGTGAGTGTTGAGTTGAATGTAGCTAATTGTTGAGTATATGAATGATAAGACTCAATCCTCCAAGTTAACAAACCACAGTATCAACAATGTGCTTACCACACAAAACAATATAGGCATATGACAACAAAATAGGAAAACCATTTCACTTAACAAATACCACTGAACTTGTATAAATACAGGACTGTGTAAGAACAGAATAAGAAAGCCTTCAATACCATAAATGGTAAGTAACAAATTATCATACCAGTAAAATCCAGAATACCAGTAACAGGAGTAACAATACCTTTAACAAAGCTGTCACATCAGTTGCTTTATGTCAACACTAGGGAGAAATATACCAATGTCAGCTGCATTCAACATACATCATCAACTCCAACCAGCAGCATACCAACTGACACCAATAGCATGTCAACTGACACCAGTAGCATGTCAACTGACACCAGTAACATGTCAACTGACACCAGTAGCATGTCAACTGACACCAGTAGCATGTCAACTGACACCAATAGCATGTCAACTGACACCAGTAGCATGTCAACTGACACCAGTAACATGTCAACTGACACCAAAAGCATGTCAACTGACACCAGTAGCATGTCAACTGACACCAATAGCATGTCAAATTCAATCAACAGCATACCATAATAACCAACAGCACATCAACTGCAGCCATAAGTTTGTCCAGTGCATATCGGTTGCATGTCAAATTTAACCAACAGCAACTGGAATCAACAATATGTCAACTGCAGTCAATGCCATGAATACAGCAAGTCAACTTCATGTAAATAGTGATTGTACGCTGGTAAAACAGGCAGACAGTTTCTAGTGTCTAGCACATCAATTGCATAATCTTTAAAGATCATGAGAGCTACAGAGTTAACAGGGAATACCAAACCTGTGTCTAGCCGTTAATAACAGATGGTGGTATTTGCTAGAACATGATGCTCTCCATCTGACAACATTAAATATTCCTCTAGAAACCTAACAAGTAAACATTTGGAGGTCACATTTAGACTACATACAGGGTGTGTGGCTTTAATTATTGTAAATCTTGAAATTATTGCGTGTACAAATTAACATGACTGGTGACCCCTAGCCAAAAATGAGACTCCCGCATCCCATTCCCAGTGGAATGATACATATCCTTACCGTTATCCAACCTTACCTTAATCCATTCAAACAGAAAATGGCACCGCTCATTGGCACTGAGAAGAGCACTTCCGTAAAAGCAATAAACAGTGTTTTCCTAAAAACAACACACAGTTTCTATGTTTATTCTGTTGACTGGCATCAAGGAAGTTCAAAGGCAATAACCTAATTGAACCAACAACAGTTCACTGATTGGTATGCAGAGAAGGTGTCAACAGACTTGAAGGCAAATGACAAGACAAAGGCTGTAGATCTGAAGAGTGTGATGAAGCCTATCGGTGTGTATTGGGTCGTGTCGGCCTTTGACGCAGTGTTGCGGAGGTGGTGCCTGTCTGGACTGCCGGAGTGGTCCAAGTTGCCTAGTTTGACACGAGTGGGTAGAACTCTCGACCCCAGCAGTGATAACTCACCAGATGTCCATTATGTAATTTCTATTCTTTAAATGACATTGTTATATACTTGTTACAACTGCTGCTAAATAAACCATGTTCGTATTTATTTTCAAGTTGGTATTTCCAAAGTTTGCAGTGAGGCTGCCTTATTGTTGATAGTCAACAATGAGAAGTTTCATTAATGCAAACAAATACCACTCGCATTTTTCGCATTTAATTCACGCTTTGGTTAATTTCAAGATTTCCAGTATCAGCTTATTTCCGCATACTCAACCTCTAATCAGACATTTAGTCTTAACTTTGGTATTGAGAACTCCAGGACAATGTATGAACATTACAGGTTCCACACATCCCTTCAATAAGACAAGGACACTGTCGTGTGGCACTGTAGTAACTCTGTAGCTCTAATGCAGTCTAGGTACATGAAATGTCTATATATATGCTCAAATCACAGTATCAGTACTAGTATTGTCTATATATGCTCAAATCACAGTATCAGTCCTAGGAAAATGATTTGTACATGCTCTGTATAATGTCACATTAACAACTCTTTATGTGAAATATGGCAGTTTGTCACTATGCAAGAGTAACTCTTCTATTCATGTTACAAGCATTCTATGCAAGCATTCCACATGGCTGACGCTCACCTAGGACCAGCATCAGCGTGTGTACAACAGACAGACTACCACGTTCTAAACTGCAGGAATGTCATTACTAACACACAAACCATCATCAACTTTAGATAAATAACATACATAATACTTCATGATAAGTATTTCAGGTTTATTGAATACAAACTGTCTTTATGACAAAAGGAGAGGGTATAATTCAGAGAAAAGCTCTTTGCAGCCTTGTCATCAGACAGTGTTACCAATTTCTGCTGTCTGACATCACGCAAAGGGGGGACTACTCTCAAATTAGTTAACTGGGTGAAGGTCAAGATGACGAATGAGACTGTCTCAATAGTGCCCTATCTGTCTCCATATATCTAATTTGTTCAGATTTTGTAAACACAGCTCAGCCAAGAGGCACCCAACATTCCTCCGAGATATGTACTCTTAAGTCAACATAAGATGAAATACATGATGTAATACTCACACATGGGCTTATCCCCGAGTCTGTGGTTGACAATCGCCACAGTACACCAACTATTGTCACCATGTCTTATTAGGGTTATATTGGATTATGAAAGTTCAGAAAGTAGCTTCATTTCAAACAGTAGAGGATAACCAAGATCATTGATATCATAATTATTCTGATACCTACACTAGAGCCTAAATTTACTTCAATAATAATGTCACTGTTCCAATGCAACAACACATACAATTTTAAGTACACAATTTGTGAATATCAAACCGTGGCTAGTTTCTTTTATACAAGGATAAAACATGAAACTATATTGTACTACTTGTATTTTCAAAATCTACCAAATACTATCTACTTCCAAGATTGTCCTATTCTAAGTGCTGTGAATGAGGCTGCTATACACCTATGTCGTAAGCTATGTACATCGTGGAACAAGTCAACATCAGATGAACTACATGATGTAATACTCACACAAGGGCTATAATTCAATATCTGGCTGACAATGTGAACATAACCAGTGGCGCTACTATACAAAAGTGGGAAAATAGTCTGCCTCAGTTACTCCATCAATTTGGTTAATTAAAAGAATGTTCAAAATTTGGAATGGCAGATCTCAGCAGCTGCTGCCATCCTGGGCCAGGGCATCATGTCTTCTGCTGCCGCTTAATTAAGATCTGAGGACAAGTCAGAACGACATTTCATCTGACCAATCAGAGTGTCGCTTACCAGATCATGAAAGTAACAGTCAGAAAATGATTTCTGATCCTCAAAAGATTGAACACTGGGTATTCTGAAGGACAATTACGGGCTCTAGGACTGAATCCATACAATCTATAGGCCATCTATTAGCCATTCCACAATGTTCGTTTGTTCTGTTTTAAAATTTTTAGTCAAGAATTTGTCAAAGTATGTTTCAAAGCGTAGTCGCCCGTTTGAAACTAGTGCCGTAAAGCATGAGAAGGCTGCCTTCTGATTGGCTAATGTCGACTTATAGTCATTCCATTGGTCAGTTAAAATTGGTGAAAGGTTGGTGTGACCCTTTATGGAATGTCCTCAGATCTTTGTTTAGCGGTAGCGAGCACTAACATCTGATTTTGTTTCACATCACCCCAGAAATACTTTCCTTGATGGATTGCACCCCTCCTATACCTAGCTCAGTGTAACATCAGCTGGTGTAGTTATCAAGTGGGATTTGCTCCCAATTCTATATTTCTCTCTATTTCAGCAGATGTGTGATTGAATGTTAGATCCACACTGTAATTTTCAGACAAAATATTCTTTTGCTAAACCTGAAACATAAGTAACTATAACCAGACACTCTTATTATACAAAGCTACAAGTATGTCATAATGATGTTAATCTACAAATATTCATATTGTACAAATATGTGAAATATGAAATTGCAATTTCTAAAGGCATACAATTTGTTCAGCATTGCACCCTACCCACATGAACTGTAAAAGACAATGATTGTTAAATATGTTCCAAAACATATATGATGCAACCATGCCAAAGACTCATTCCGTCAGCTAATGTGTCAATCAAAATAAACTTTGACACCTGACATCTCTTAAAGTACAAACACCATAAACCATTTCCTACAACATGATGAAGCATGAGGGCAATCCATATATGTGGCCACCATCTTCCTGTGCTTCCTCCCTCATACTGTCCACATTGTACATTGGAACAAACCTACATGGATTGATGAGGTTGGAAGATACAGATGGGACATGGATGGCTTGTGTGACTGAGGGACTGGGCTATAACTCACACTGGGAATAGGAGAAAGTTGAATTGTTTCAATCACTGAGATCACATAAATATTCGTCAATCATAGACTGAGCCATGTCAACATAAGATGGATATGGAGAGAAAATTCATCATCATCATCATCATCATCATCATCATCATTTTAGTCATCTTCATGAATCGAAAGGATAGTACCCTACCATCAATTCCTTGAAATTGACAAATAAACAAACCAAAGCCATAACCAGTTTCTTCCCTCATTCAAATAATCATGATAATACCCAAACTTCTCACAATCAATGTTTGTTCAATAACCATGATCCAACACTCAATGACTTTTACAGACAGACACCTGCAGTATCAGCCAGAATGAAACTACCTGAATCAAATTTGAAATTTTGGCAATTTCAGAAAAACAAACTTTTGAACAGAAGCCACTTAAGTGACAAAATAACATTGAAGTGTTCCCTGTGCACCATATGCTCATGTTCCTGCCGGCGTCCTGCAGGGGTGGTCACACATGCAGGCGGTGTGGCGCCCTTTCATGGTCATCCTTGTACAACCTGATTTCAGCCTGCTGCTAATCTATGCACTAGTTTCTAAGGTATCCATTCCTACACAGGCCGCATTACACAAATGTCAATGTTCTTTAGATTTTTCCACATTATCCCGCAGCATCTGCACTTGTTCTGAAAAAACATAACAGATGATAAAATTATCAAGTTCACAAATATTGAACAATAGTTATAATTGTTAATAATTCTCAGAATACTACCTCCATAACATCTTTGCCATAAATCCTGTATTTTGTCTTCAGTTACACTAACTAAATTTTCAGATTTTCAACAAACGTCCTCTACACTGTCAATTACACACAATTAGTTGTCCCTGAATAGCACTATAGCAAACCAAGCTATAGCATGCATAATGGCGGGAAACCTCACTTCTTTACCTATTGTTATAGTTGTAACTCTCTAGCACTTGGTTGTAGTCACATTTAATCTTATATTGTTCTATAGTTTTCTTAAAACACTATTTTGTGTTGTGATACGTGTGGAACATATGCTTTACATCACTTTATTTTAAGTATGCTTAATCAGTATGTATACAACCTAGGTTGGTCAAGGGACATCGTCCAAACAAATGGGTTCTTTTCTAACAATTTTTGAATGGAGGTAGGGATAATTCTTCTTCAAAAACATTACAGAAACTATCATAAAAAAGTTCATGTGTTTCCGTAAAAGCAGGCATGTCAACCCGCAACAAGTCCTGAAGTTGATCAATGCAAATAGAGGATATATGGTGCTTAGATTTGCATAACGTAAACAGTTGACAGGGGGTGAGGATTACAAGATTTACCTATACCACGATAATATAAAGTCAGACTTTATAAAGTTCCACGCTTCCAACAATAGTCTACAATAGTCTCATCCCTGGAAACATTGTACCAGCAGTAATTGAGAAAATAACAACATTTAACTAAGTTATGAAGTCCAATCACTTTCAGACATCTCAAAAAGTTGGTTTTATCCAAACTTAACTGTATTTTCAAGGTAGATTGATTTTCTGAAAAAAATGACTACCTAACTGGACAAATCTTAATCATTCTGAATGCAATTTAAGAGGAAACAAATTGGTTGGAATAAATATCAAATATCAAATATCAAAGTTCACACATTGACTTTGCGATGATCTCTTGTCTGGGATCAACCTATTTAATCTGCTTGCAACACTGTCACACTCTCACCTTCCCGCAGATTGGCTATTATAGACTGTTTCCGAACAAACTCCAGACATAAATCTTTGCCGAGGCCAAACGCTCTCATGTTGCAGGTGAATGTTCTGGAACATAATCGTCAGCTCAGAAATTAATGAGTTTTTATATTGAAAAATTGCTCATTGTAAAGACATATTCATGGTACATCTCCTGGTTCACTTGCAGTTACATCAACATCTGTCTACCATATGGCAAACAGTCAATGCCAGTCCCAAAGATAATAGGCATATTCTTACTTCTCACATTCAGCATAGTGGCATAGCAGGAAACCTGGCAGGGCATTGTTTCCAAGATGACTCAAGAAACTAAAAAATATATATTTACCCAAGTTGACCAAATGTGATATTTTCTTGAAAATGTCGGTCATCAGTTCTGGCATCTTTTGGAGCCTCTCTGAAACACAAACATCAAAGTAATTCTCAGACAACGTATCAACAGAGATTTATCTAGGATTTCAAACTAAGTGTCCCAGGAAGCCAAATTGCTATTTTGTTCAAAGTTGAGATTTTTTAGGGTTAGTACGTTTAGGCTTTTTGTGTTGCAATGTAATGAATAACGCCACAAGGCTCTGTAGCTCACGGGTTAAATTCACACATTGTACCCATGTGGAGAATCAACCCTGATCCTTCAGCATAATGAGCCAGTGTTTTAACCACTGGGCTACCCCCAACATCCCTTATCAATTAAGAGAATGCTGATCATCAATATAGCTGTGAAACAAACATCGCTGTATCCCCAATGTTTGTGACATGATCATATCATGGATTCTTTGATGAGACAAACATTGGATGCGAATCTCACAAACATTGTGTCAGCTACAACTGTAGTAGATGTGGAATATGTTTAAAGTAGCATTGGCAAAGTCACATTCGTACTGAAACTGTGTGAATGTATAAGTGCAGATTGCATTGTTTTTTCATTGACATGACACAATATATGGGAGTGATACATGGAGTTTGGAGAGATGACACTTCAGTCCTGGTGTACATAGACAGGGGTGGTTCTAGGGCTGGGACGGGTAACTTGGGTACTTGGGTCGGGTGGGTCCTGAGTAGGACCCGGGTACCAACATGACTACCCGGACCCGTGGTTAGTCACATGACATACTGTTTAATAACATTAACAATAAAACTCAATGGTTACACTACAAGTATAGCTAATGTTCACATTTCTTTCTCACTATGCAAGCATTTGTTCCAATCTCAGTAAAATCAGATCCTAGTTCTTGCTACCGCTAAACAAAGATCTGAAGACATCCCATTAGGGGTCACGTCAAAACGACCTTTCATTCGACCAATCAGTGCGTCACATACCAGATTATGAAAGTGACTGTTGGAATGTGATTTCTAATCATGCAATCTCGAAAACTTTAAAATGGGGTATCCGAACGATAGTTACGGGTTTGAAGACTGAATCCTTACATTCTAGACCATCTATTAGTCATTCCAGAATGTTTTTTTGTTCAGGTTTCAAATTTGTAATCGAGAATTTGTCAAAATATGTTTCAAAGCGTAGTCACCAATTTGAAATTTGTGCCGTAAAGCATGAGAAAGCTGGTTTCTGATTGGTCATTCCATTGGTCGGTCAAAGTTAGCACAAGGTCGGTCTGACGTGACACGTAATGGGATGTCCTCAGATCTTCGTTTAGCCGTAGCGAGAACTAAGGTCTGATTTTAATGAGATTGGCATTCGTTCTGACTTTTAATATGTTCGAGTAAGGATAAAACATCTATCAATTGCAGTGTATCGGTTTTATATGTGTATCTAAATAGGTTTTGCCAGGGCTACGGTAAAACAATTCCCATTTGGACATTTTGTACCCGACTCTTGAGACCTATAGCGGGTACCCGGTTTGGGCCGGTTAATAGGGTGTTGGGTACCTGGGTAGTAAATTTGGACTCATCCCAGCCCTAGGTGGTTCATGGTTATTTCACTCCCAACTGAGACTTCTTGCAGTCTATTTGATTAATCTATTTTCAGTTTGAGATTTATCTTTTCCTCTTTCCCAATATTATATTACATGGATTTTGTTTGAATTAATTTCACAGTATGAAAGTATCAATACAAACTCCACTTCCTATTAAAAAATAAAAAAATAAAATGTACCCTTTCTTTAGGTTTACAGGGAAGTTTGTCAAAACAAAAATACATTTTCAACTCAAAAATGTAAAAGAATTAATGGGATATTGCTTTTATCAGATTTCTATGCAGTATTTCATCAGCAACCAAACAGCATCCTTACAATGACCGGCTACTGGATCTGTAGCCAGGAACCCTTGCTAGTCATGACAGTAGGAGGGACAGGGCTAGAAGTAGATATCAGCATTCACCAATCTCACATTACACTACCCACACATGTCACATGGACCAAAATGACAGAGAAAAGCCTTGAAAGGTCACGTTCGATCCGATTGCAGTAAGAAACGGATTTTGTTGGTACAATTCCCTCAAGGATGAGTGTCAGCCACGGATCCCCAGTCAGTAATCATGTGCTGGCTGATGATGTCACATGACGTCTGATGATATCGGTCAGAGAGGATAGGGAGTAATTCAAATACAGCAAGGCTTTATGGAGCTGAGTCCTTCACTTCCACAGTAGTGAATGGATGTAAATCTGCAGTCAGTCATATTCCAGCTGTATCACTGTAGCCTGTACATAACAAATCTGTTGACAAGTGTGGTGTGGTGTTTCCACTGCCTCATGTTGTATGTCACAGTTGCCTCTCAGACAGAAGAATGACCACTGAAGGAAACAGTGGATGCGAGACCCCAGCCTGATAACAGTGCCGACTTGACCACACTGATGCTGTGTGTGGTTGTATGTTAACTCACCAGCTCAAATGTCTGTCTAGACTGTGTCTCTTCAGTAATCAATGTATTCCTTGAAGTATCTTAACTAGATTTGTAACAATGCTTTCAAGTTTGTCAAAGTTCTGTAATAAAAGCCCTCCTGAAGATCCTATTAAATGATCTATAAGTATTTGGCTGCCTGCATCTGGTTATCTGTAGCCATTGAGGATGGAGAACTGCTGGCATCTTTGTGTGGCTAATGGTTTGATTGGAATGAGAAGTGCTTCCCCTATTACACAAACTTGCTCAATCCATGACGTAAATGTTTGTCAAGCACAGTAGCACTGCTTGCAGCCATGGAGCTGGGCATCAAGCAGTTAAAGGAGGTAAAACATATAGGTGGCCAGACAGCAGTCACACCTGGATTAGTGCATTGAATTCAGTCAACCATGATGGATTAGTGCATTGAATTCAGTCAACCATGATGGATTAGTGCATTGAATTCAGTTAACCCTGATGGATTAGTACATTGAATTCAGTTAACCATGATGTATTAGTACATTGAATTCAGTCCACCATGATGGATTAGTACAGTGAATTCAGTCCACCATGATGGATTAGTACAGTGAATTCAGTCCACCATGATGGATTAGTACAGTGAATTCAGTCCACCATCATGGATTAGTACAGTGAATTCAGTCCACCATGATGGATTAGTACATTGAATTCAGTTAACCAAGATGGATTAGTACAGTGAATTCAGTCCACCATGATGGATTAGTACAGTGAATTCAGTCCACCATCATGGATTAGTACAGTGAATTCAGTCAACCATCATGGATTAGTACAGTGAATTCAGTCCACCATCATGGATTAGTACAGTGAATTCAGTCAACCATCATGGATTAGTACAGTGAATTCAGTTAACCATGATGGATTAGTACATTGAATTCAGTTAACCCTGATGGATTAGTACAGTGAATTCAGTTAACCATGATGGATTAGTACAGTGAATTCAGTTAACCATGATGGATTAGTACAGTGAATTCAGTTAACCATGATGGATTAGTACAGTGAATTCAGTTAACCATGATGGATTAGTACATTGAATTCAGTTAACCATGATGGATTAGTACAGTGAATTCAGTTAACCATGATGGATTAGTACAGTGAATTCAGTTAACCATGATGGATTAGTACAGTGAATTCAGTTAACCATGATGGATTAGTACAGTGAATTCAGTCCACCATCATGGATTAGTACAGTGAATTCAGTTCAGGAGGAGTAAGATAGAGGCTGCAGTAGGTGGAACGTGACAATCAACAGAACATGTTGGCCATGTATTGTAAGGATGCAAACAACCAAGAAAGATGACAGGGGTGGGTAGTGAACATTGGAGATGACTTGATCAATAATGAGTCTTGCATTCATGATTGGTCAAACATTCGTTCAGTTCAGCCCAGTCCAGTTAATGTAGAGGGTGGCCTTTGACGTCGAAATACACATTTCCCGATGTCCTCTATGGGGGAAAGGTCAGGACTCAAGGCTGGCCATTGCATTCTGGTGATGTTTTATTTGTGCTGGAGGTAGGCAGTTACGATACGTGCAAGTTGGGCACAAGCTTTATCGTCTTGAAAGACACAATGTGGACCAACATGGCATACAAGCGGCACAACTATTGACCCCAGTATGTTGTCTCGGTAGTACTGATCCTGCACCATATCATGACAGACCCACCCCCAAATCTGTCACACTGCCATACGTTGATGTTTGCAAGACATTTGTTAGAACACCTCAAGACGCGTTGATGCCTATCCAGAAAGTCCAGAGTGAATCTGGCTTCATCTGGAAACATTACACGAGAACCACCAGCCACCACTCCACTTTCTACGCTCTAAACACCATTGGCGTCTGTGTAGAATGTGGCGATTTGTTAACGGTGCTAAAACACCTACGTCACATTAGCTACATGCAGGCCCATTTCTAATCGTCTGGCCAGTGAAGAGTTGGGCCTCGATTTCCTAGATCTACAGAGCCTGGTTTCTGATTAATCGATCCTGGACTTGTGTTGTTGACCTTAGGGCACCCTTTGAGGGGCCGATTATTAACATTTTGTATCTGCAGAAACCTGTTTCAAAGTCTGCAAGTCTTAGTTGAGACACATTGAACATACTGGCTCCTTCTCATGGAGTTCTTTCAGTTCAAGCATGCCAGTAGCCCTCAGGCATTCATCATGTTGTAGACGATGCATTCCCAATCTCATCATAAGTCCTGCATTAAAGCAAGAGTAGAGAGCTTTCGTGTCACTGTGGATAATGAAAATCAACAATACTAACAGCTTACAGCAATTTGACAACCTTTCACTGAAGTGCCAAAATAAAAAATGGACCCCTACCCACATGCACGGAGGAATTGCATGTTGTGTTGGTGCATAAGGTTTTGGTTCCAAAATCTCTGGAAGTCCTTATTCAAAGCTGATGTTCGTCTGACAAAATATCATGACATTTATATTTCATGAACCCTACTTTTTTGGAGAGCATAGTTGCAAGCTTTTTATCCTTAGAATGTTTCTGTTGCTGATTGCATTCAATAATCATAATGCTAGTCTGCTTTTCCTGTATATATTATTTATCTACAGGGAATTTTCTACACAAGTTTGATTTGCCTCAAAAAATCCATCTGAATAATTGATGTTTCATTCATGAAAAATATTTCAGCAGCAGCTAGAACAAGAATATATTGTCATTAATATATCATTCATTCTACTTCAAGCTGGTACTGTTAATTTGTACACTTCAGCTATATCATAATAGGCTGATTTCTAAAGCACTACATCAGCTTAATTTACCTCAAAGTGGTTCAACAATCAATGAATGACTCCATAAGGTAAATGATTTTATGTTAAACCATCACAATATGTGGACATTTACTGGCACGATAAGCCAAGTACAGACATTGATCGAGGACAAAAATAAGATGGTTAAAAGAAACAGGACAGGATTGATTATTCTTAAAGGGGATTGACATGACAATATGCCCACAGCACATCAGATATATTGATATTATACTGATTTATAATACTCCATTCACTCTTGAAGAAATTATTTGGGACAAAATAAGTTTTCATACATTTTTGGATGAAAAGCTAATATTAAGATTTCATTTGAAAAGAGTATAATCTGCAGAAAAAAGGTTCTTTTTGAGATGTGAGAATAATGCTATATTTTGAGGCAATTGTGTACAGTTATGTGTTACATATTGAAATGGCTGTTATGGAATTCCGATATTCCACTTCCTAACATTGTCATGCATGCATACAAATCCATGTACACAAATCCATGTACAACTGCAACAGACCAGTATAAGACAGGCATCATGTACGTACCCACACAGAAACACAAACATTCCAGTAAAAAACAAATTAATCTGTATGCCAGTTAACTACAAAGTCAAATTATTAAACAACCTTCTTTATATTTTCAGCATCCCATAAGTTCACACTCACAAAAGCTCTTAGGTTTCCAGTAACCTTTATCTGCCACATGCCTTCAATAATTCAAGATAATGTACAAATAAAGGGATCCCATTACTGTCTGACACATGTTACTCCAGGACAACTCATAATGAAATGAACCAGACTCTATTTCACATATTCATTGATGTTGAAGAGTTTTTTCACTGATCTATGGCACCAATTACATAAATGAGACGTAATAATCTTCTCTACCTAATGAAGTCAAGTAACTTTTAAAGAAATGATGGAAACTCAGTGCTTTGGTTTCATAGTATTCAAAGTGGAATACAATCCCCAGCCGAATAGGAGAAAATAAAGACTCTTTAATGGAGTTTGTATTTTTCTCACACAAAACACGAACATATCCTCTGTATTAACGTACGCCAATAACAGCTGAAATGGATGGAGATGGGACAAAGAAAGCAACAATAGCATAATGCTGCAGTATCAGACCGTTGGCAAGTGAAACTAGACAGGACCCAGCTGGAGGTCCAGGGCACCACAGTACTGGATGGAGTGGTTAGGAAAGCTGTATTTATTCAACTGCTATTGATTCCAACCATGTTGCATCTCATATCAGATGCCCAGTTTCTCCTTGACTCCATAACAGTCAGTGCATGTCAGTTTGATGGGAAATTAAATACTTGCAAAACAGCTCTGATTATTTTTCATTTTTTCACCTGTCAGCAGTTCAGAGAAAACATTTTCTGTGAAAGATTTCATTTCTTTACAATTCAAGTTTCTTGTTTCTTTTCTTGCAGGGGTGCTCTGTACTCATGATTCAATCTTACTGAAGCTTTGTCTATCTGTTTGGCTTCACATGTGTATCACTTGTAACTAAACTGTTTAAGTGAGTGAGTGAACTGGGTTTAATGCCGCTTTTAACAGTATCCCAGTTATATCACGGCGTGTCAGCTTAATGTGGGAGAAAAGCCCGAAGTGATGCAAGTCTCAGACATTTACCACTTTGGTGAAATCCACAACCACGGGTATTGTGCTGACAAACCTAGAAATATAATCAGGGTGAACTGGGATCTCACAATCATATAGGTTTCTGGTATGCTCAAGGGATGCAACTCTGCACAGCGAATTACAGCACCTTAGATGAATAGGCCACCCTTGCCCCCTAAACATAAACAATACAGGGGCCAGATACCAATTCAGTCTGATAATTCTGGCAGGCCTACCAATACCATTGTTGTCAAAGGAGTTAACAAAATCTAGAATGGCTGCAACATGTCACTTCTATAATCATCCAAAGCTTGAGAGAAAGAACAACAGGTACAACTACTTACATTGTCGGCATGGGTCTCCGGGATCTCTCACACTGAACAGCATCAAAGAATGCAGCATTCCAGAAGCGCAAAGACTGCCATATTGGCTGGTCACGCAGGTAGCTGTACAGGAACGATTTGTTCAGTTGCTGTCCAGCTGGCAACAAAGAAACAAACAACCATCATCATCATCATCATCATCATTGTAATGTACAAGCCTTTGGTATATTTCGGTCAGTAGACAGTGAGACTTATCAGATTGTACATGTCATATTTTGCAAAACAGCATATAACCGTTATTGCTACATAAATTAACGTATATCACCACTTATCTTACTGACTGTTTCGACTTGGCAACGTGATAGTTCGTGTGACATCACCTATATTCGTTAGTCTGTTCCACGAAACTACTTCTTGTGGCATAATGGCTTAAATCCGCCTTGTATGGCTACAAAATTGCTTCTAGTATATCTAAATGCATGGCATATTCCTACATAGCCTTGACACATCTTCAAATAACTTCTGTCACTGGTGGAATGCATTCTACGTTCCATCAACCGTATCTTCGAGCCGAGATACTACTTCCAGTTTGACATCACTTTGTTGACAGTTTGATTGGTTGTGAAAATCTCAGGCTGGAGAGAAGTTTGCCGGTTCGAGACTGAGAAATGTGAGTTGTGGTTCACAAATTATATATTTCTTCTATACTTTATTAACTGAATGTAAAAGTGTTAAAAGAATAATTACATTCTTTATAATGAAATAAATGTTTATTGTGTATTTCTTTATTGTGAAATTATTCTTGATAATTTAAATAATTAAAACTGTGTGGTTGGTGGTATTGGGAGTGATCCAAATCGCTACCCAAAGCTTTCCCCCCAGAACTATTACAATCATCATCATCATCATCATCATCATAACCATCATAGGCATCACTTTCACCATAATCACATCATCATAATCATAATAAACGTCACTATCATCATCTCTATGCTATTTCAACATTAAGATTTGCAGAATGCTCCATATAACTGATACTGAGGTATCACTTGTATCAGTTTATAATGTCTACACATTTCTGTGAGTCATCAATTGTTGTTTTCCACATACAAAGTTGACTGGGGTCCTGTGACACTCAATCAACTAAGTAACAGTGACTGCAAGCATGTGCAACACGCCATGTCAATGGGGCACTGTGACACTCAATCAACTAAGTAACAGTGACTGCAAGCATGTGCAACACGCCATGTCACTGGGGCACTGTGACACTCAATCAACTAAGTAACAGTGACTGCAAGCATGTGCAACACGCCATGTCACTGGGGCACTGGGGCACAGTGACACTCAATCAACTAAGTAACAGTGACTGCAAGCATGTGCAACACGCCATGTCACTGGGGCACTGTGACACTCAATCAACTAAGTAACAGTGACTGCAAGCATGTGCAACTCGCCATGTCACTGGGGCACTGGGGCACAATCAACTAAGTAACAGTAACTGCAAGCATGTGCAACACGCCATGTCACTGGGGCACTGTGACACTCAATCAACTAAGTAACAGTGACTGCAAGCATGTGCAACACGCTATGGCACTGGGGCACAGTGACACTCAATCAACTAAGTAACAGTGACTGCAAGCATGTGCAACACGCCATGTCACTGGGGCACTGTGACACTCAATCAACTAAGTAACAGTGACTGCAAGCATGTGCAACACGCCATGTCAATGGGACACAGTGACACTCAATCAACTAAGTAACAGTGACTGCAAGCATGTGCAACATGCCATGTCAATGGGGCACTGGGGCACAGTGACACTCAATCAACTAAGTAACAGTGACTGCAAGCATGTGCAACACACCAAGTCACTGGGGCACTGGGGCACAATCAACTAAGTAACAGTGACTGCAAGCATGTACAACACGCCATGTCAATGGGGCACAGTGACACAATCAACTAAGTAACAGTGACTGCAAGCATGTGCAACACGCCATGTCAATGGGGCACTGTGACACTCAATCAACTGAGTAACAGTGACTGCAAGCATGTGCAACATGCCATGTCACTTGGGCACTGTGACACTCAATCATCTAAGTAACAGTGACTGCAAGCATGTGCAACACGCCATGTCAATGGGGCACTGGGGCACTGTGACACTCAATCAACTGAGTAACAGTGACTGCAAGCATGTGCAACACGCCATGTCAATGGGGCACAGTTACACTGTATCAACTAAGTAACAGTGACTGCAAGCATGTGCAACACGCCATGTCAATGGGGCACTGTGACACAATCAACTGAGTAACAGTGACTGCAAGCATGTGCAACACGCCATGTCAATGGGTAACAGTGACACAATCAACTAAGTAACAGTTGCTGCAAGCATGTGCAACATGCCATGTCAATGGGGCACTGTGACACTCAATCAACTAAGTAACAGTGACTGCAAGTATGTGCAACACGCCATGTCAATGGGGCACTGGGGCACAATCAACTGAGTAACAGTGACTGCAAGATGTGCAACACGCCATGTCACTGGGGCACTAGGGCACTGTGACACTCAATCAACTAAGTAACAGTGACTGCAAGCATGTGCAACACGCCATGTCAATGGGGCACTTGGGCACAATCAACTGAGTAACAGTGACTGCAAGCATGTGCAACACGCCATGTCAATGGGGCACTGGGGCACAATCAACTGAGTAACAGTGACTGCAAGCATGTGCAACACGCAATGTCACTGGGGCACTGGGGCACAGTGACACTCAATCAACTAAGTAACAGTGACTGCAAGCATGTGCAACACGCCATGTCACTGGGGCACTGGGGCACAATCAACTGAGTAACAGTGACTGCAAGCATGTGCAACACGCCATGTCAATGGGGCACTGGGGCACAATCAACTGAGTAACAGTGACTGCAAGCATGTGCAACACGCCATGTCAATGGGGCACTGGGGCACAATCAACTGAGTAACAGTGACTGCAAGCATGTGCAACACGCCATGTCAATGGGGCACTGGGGCACAATCAACTGAGTAACAGTGACTGCAAGCATGTGCAACACGCAATGTCACTGGGGCACTGGGGCACAGTGACACTCAATCAACTAAGTAACAGTGACTGCAAGTATGTGCAACACGCCATGTCACTGGGGCACTGGGGCACAATCAACTAAGTGACAGGGACTGTCGAGTCGATACCCAAAATAGCCACTTCTGTCAAGAGAGGAAGGAATAACTTCTAAATTTACAAGGTTACTGAGGACATTACCTAACTATATTTGGAGAACAGTAGAGAAGCTTTTGGTTGCTACAAGACATCCTTCAGGATTATGATAACTGTTCCTCACAGCTGACCAGAATAAAGCTATCCACGATCACATTCAAACAATTTAAGAAACTGTAGGACAACAACAAAAATAGGGAGGCTTCAGCAATACTATATTAACAGAGTGTGAAAACAGGCAGTGATTGATCTCCGGGCAACAAGGTACCTGGGGCCCTCTCAGGAGAGGAATGCTGTCTTTGTTGTGGCTTGTATGATCTGTCATGGAGACAGAGAGGCAAGGATTAGGCCTGTGACCAAACCAAGCCAGGATTGCTGGAAGAAAGGTATGTGTGTCATTTGTAGGAAATTGGTCCAAGCTTGTTTCCGTATTTGATAAGATGACTTGTTTTAATCAATGTTATGTGGATCTTTTCAGTGAACATAAAAAGAAATGGTCATAAGATTCAGCAACAAGTACAGCAGTAAATGTTACAGGCAAGGATGCGGTAAATGAGAGTACATTAGTCAAGAAGATGCTTTCTTCAAGAAACTCCTGGAAACAGTAGGACTGGCTGCTAAATGTCATGCGCCTTATAAGAAGTGCACAGACTCCATATGAGAGTTATGTAACTGCTCATATTTTCCGCAGCTGATGATGCAGGTCGGTGTAGGAGAAGGGGGCAGGGGTTGACAGCGTTATTGTATTCTACATCACACATTATGCTGAGGCGTCTTTTTCTGCTTGCTGATACAATACTTATTGCGTTTGCTGCATTAATAGTGAGTGTGTGCATATGGCTTCCTTCAATCTACCAGTTCCTTGACATGTCTGACTGAGGGTGTATAACAAGATGTCTCATGTCAATACCAGTATCTAGTGATGCTGTTGTCTCACTTCAGGAACTTCATATCAAGAATGTCACCTGCTGTAGAGTTGCTCCAAGAACGTCACCTGCTGCAGAGTTGCTATGGAGACAGGATGCAAATTCCATATTCTACATGCAGGTACTTAATTAATAGAGCTATGTTTTAATAAACACTATAAAAATAATAAAAATCTCATAGATAGTTAACACTTTAAAACTGAGCAACACACTTGACTTGAAAACAATCCCAGCTCATAGTATGATGCAGACAGCATGACCCTAGTGTATGACAGGCTACCATGTTTCCACATGACCCGAGTGTACAAAATGATACCATGTTTCCACATGACCCTAGTGTACAACACGCTACCATGTTTCCACATGACCCTTGTGTACAACATGCTACAATGTTTCCACATGACCCTAGTGTACAACATGCTACCATGTTTCCACATGACCCTAGGGTACAACAGGCTACCATGTTTCCACACGACCCTAGTGTACAACAGGCTACCATGTTTCAACATGACCCTAGTGTACAAAATGATACCATGTTTCCACATGACCCTAGTGTACAACACGCTACCATGTTTCCACATGACCCTAGTGTACAACAGGCTACCATGTTTCAACATGACCCTAGTGTACAACACGCTACCATGTTTCCACATGACCCTAGTGTACAACAGGCTACCATGTTTCAACACGACCCTAGTGTACAACAGGCTACCATGTTTCCACATGACCCTAGTGTACAACAGGCTACCATGTTTCAACACGACCCTAGTGTACAACAGGCTACCATGTTTCCACATGACCCTAGTGTACAACATGCTACCATGTTTCCACACGACCCTAGTGTACAACATGCTATCATGTTTCCACATGACCCAAGTGTACAACACACTACCATGTTTCCACATGGCCCTAGTGTACAACACGCCACCATGTTTCCACATGACCCTAGTGTACAACACGCTACCATGTTTCCACATGACCCTAGTGTACAACAGGCTACCAT